TGGTGGCCGACCAGCGCTTCCCGCAGCAGCGCCTGTCCCGCAAGGCCAGGCAGAAGACCAACGTCTTCGACCCTGACTACCTGGCCGGGCTGTCTCCCTTCGCCGAGCACGACGTGCACAGCCGCGCAGCAAACCTGCAGATCCGCGACGCCGCGCTGGGCGCAGGCAGGAGGCGCCTCAACCCCAACGCCGCCACCAAGAAGTTCGTCAAGAGGAGGTGAAGGCTGGGATGAGCTCCACAGGGAGGGAAGGATCACCCACCTGCCCAGGTGTAGTGGTGGCTCATGGAGGATGAGGCCTCTCCCAGCACCTGGGCAGGGGTTGGAACTTTCCCTCCCTGCTCCACTTGGTGCCTGGAGAGCAGCTGTGACTGGGGGTGACAGTTGCTGGGTTTGGGGAGGCCCTGACCCAGGTGAGGCGGTTGGTGGCTTCCTTGTTTGGCCCTGGGACACCCCAGGGCAATGACTGCATTGCTAATAAACAAATAAACCCATAGCATTGTGTCTTGGTCTTTTTTCTGTGGCTGCCTGGGCCAGGATGAGTCTCTGAACCTCAAGAGGAAGAGGAGGCTGGGAAAGAGGGAGGAAGGATTTCTCCCTCTGGGGTATTTCATCCCATGGCTCCACATTGGCTTTAAAGAGGGGGTGGATAAGGAGCTCCAGAAGGACAAAAGTCAGTGGCAGTAGGTTGCAGCCTGCCCTGGTGTTGGGTGATGCCCAGGGCTGAAAGGGAAGGCCCTAGGGTAAAGCTATTTTGGCTAAATCTGCTGAGATCTTTCACAATCAAGTGTTCCGCCCAGCTCTCCCTGCAATTTCTTCTTACCCCTGCTGAAATCTTTCAAACTTAAAAAATTCCCAATACCAGCTGCGGAGATGCAGGGTGGGAGCAGGAAAGGACACACACCTGGGCCTCCACAGCCCCAGGGTGTTTTCAGTCTGCTGGCATTGATACCCCAAAGATACAGATCATAGTATTATAGAATGCTAAGGGGTTGGAATGGACCTTAGAGGTTATCTAGTGTCAACCCCCTGCCCTGGGCAGGGACACCTCCCACCAGAGCGGGTTGCTCAAGGCTTTAGCCAACCTGGCTTTGAACACTGCCAGGGTTGGGGCAGCCACAGCCTCCCTGGGCAACCTGTGCCAGTGTCTCACCACCCTCATCATCCCCAGCGCAGCTTCCTCCCGGCACAGAGAAAATGCCCCGGGGAAAAACCAGCACAAGACTTTACACTGCAAAATGAAAACTTTCATTGTTTATTCTCGACTGCAGCTGTTTACAGAAATAGAGTTGCGAGTATACAAATGTCCCAATAGAAGCAAAATATTTTTTATTCCTTTTTTGTTGGGTTTTTTTTTTAATATTCAACAAGTTATCACAGGAGAGCTAAAAACATAGATGCAAATAAAATATCCCCTCGTAGACAAACTGAGAACACCGGGAATCAGTGCTTGGAAAAACCCACCCACGAAAGCCATAACACACGGAACTGCACGAGGAGCATCTGGTGCTACTGTCACATGGCAGGACACAGGAGAGGCGGCTCAGGGTTGACCAGCGCACCCAGGACACCTGGCAGGCAGGTGAGGAGGCACCAGAGGTGCAGCCAGGGACAGAGGTAGGAGCTCTGCTCTGAAGGGGTTGGAGCTTACTCTCAGCATCAGCTCGAATGGAAATAGTTCAAACTGCCTTGCTTTAGCCAGGATAAAAAAGCTTCAGGAGCGCTGCAGGCTGCTAAGGAACTGGAATGTGATCCCAGGTCTGCAACACCCAAAGAGCCACTTTCAAACAGGAGTTTCCCTCAGGCACCACTACCCTGACATCTGGACACAGATCAGACCCTCCCCAGCTCCCAGCAGGGGCCAAAACCAAGCCAAGGCCATTCCCTGTCACCTAAACACAGGACCCTTCCCTGATCCCAAGCCTTGAGCAAACACACAGAGCTGGAATGTGTCACAGTGGGAGCCTTGGAGCCTGACCCAAGGGGTTGGTGAGGGGGGAAATCCTGGGATTCCTTCACCCCTGTCCCCACAGAGTGTTATTGGGCAACCTAATGGGCTATAACAGCAACAATGACAGACCTGGAAAGGGCAGAGATCAGCCCTGTGAGCTCCCAGAGAAGCAATAAGGTCACTGACTCTAGGCATGGCAGAGGTGCTTGATAAAACCGGTACCAGGACAACAGTGTCTGACCCACCTTGTGCCAAATTCCAGTGGAACTCACCAGATTGAGCATGAAGACTCGTGGTGGACACAACACACAGCAGTGACTTCATGATCTGGGTTTCTCAGGTTTAATTCCTCACACAACCTGTAAGAGTTCGAGTCACTGCAGGTCCCTCACGGCCACAACCCATGGGGAGCTGCTCTGCCTTCAGGGAGTTCTCCAGACAGTGACTGCTGCAGTAACAAGTCAGTTAAAAACAATCCTTTACAGACACCTCTCCTCATGGGAATAGAGAAGAATGGCAGAGGAAGTTTCCCCTCCCTGGCCCAACAAGGTCCCACAGCAACCAACACACCCAACTGGTGTCAGCTCAGCTCCTCCCAGCACAGCCATCACCATTCCCGGTCTGCACAAGCTGCTGGGAGACTGGGAATGGAAAAGGGCCTGGAGTGACTCAAGGGAAACTCAGGGATGCAGGAACCAACCCTGGAAGTGTTCATTCCAGGTTGGATAAAGCCTTGAGCAACCTGCTCTGGTGGGAGGTGTCCCTGCCCAGGGCAGGGCATTGGGGTTGGATGGTCTCTAAGCTCCATTTCAACCCCCAAACAATCTGTGAAGCCTGGCTGTCACTCCCACCCTAACCCACACCTGCAGGTATGAATAAAAAGATATAAAAATACAAAAGTGGACAGAGCTGCTGCCAACCCACAGGGATCAGCCATGTTCACAAGCAGAGCAAGCGCTGGAGCCACGTTCCCAGCGGCGCCACACGGACAGGACTGAGGTGCTGACACAGCTACTCATGAGTCACTACAAAAACCTCCCACTAGGGAAAAGGAGTATTGTTTCATGTTTATAAAAATGTAAATATCACAGTATTCTATGCATGTGTCTACTGGTCATTTATATAGAATAGATAGGACTCCTCTATATACATATATATAATCCTATAATATACAGGCAGTGCATATTTACATTCCTGTACAGATGGCGAGGGAGGAAAAGCCTCTCCTCCTGTGTAACCTCTCCAGCCCTGCTCCACTAGAGAATTTTACCAGTTCCCTTTTACAGGAGTTTCCCTCCCGCTGCATTTTCCTTGGATCTAAACAACATTTACCCCATTTCCAGTCCTGACCTCTCACTGCTCTCCAGTGCAGTGGGCACAGACCCTGCTGGGGAATCACAACTGGTGTAACTGGTCTGAGGATGGACACAAAGTGCTCACAATCTGCCCTGAAACACTAATTAGGCCCAGATTAAAACAAAACCCTGAACACACACATCATCTCAGTGCTGTTTCCTTTTAGCTTCTACGAGGACAGAGCTGCCCTCAGTGCTCTGCTCCACAGAACCTTGGAACTCCTCGGAACTCAATGCTGCACTAATGAGAAGTCACCAGTGATCAGTATTTCCTCTTTTCACCTTCCACCTACAGCTGAGAGCATGCCAAGCAATTCCCTCTCCTCGTTCCTGCTGCTCTCACTCAGATCCATCTCCCTGCACTCCTCTCCCTGGGAAAGAAATCCAAGTCTGCCAGGCAGAGGCATGAGAAAACAGGGATAAAACATCTGTTTGGGCAGGTTTGCCTTTGAGAAATTAGATCCTAAATCAAAATCTCACTAGAAACTGTGAAAAATAAAGCTCAGCTTATCCAAACAAGAGGAATGTCCACAGACAGAGCTGCCCAGGCCTGGTAGTTCAGCAAAAAACTGCCCAAGTTATGTTTAACTCCTCGTGCCTTGTTCTACCTTAACACTACCCAGGAAGCACCACCCTGCCAGTGGTTAGAAGTTACTACAATGACTGGAGATTCCAAATCCACTTGGGAACAGCCACCCTGGAATTACTTCCTCAACTAGAGCTGTGCTAAAACAAGAGCAAAGCATTTGGCTTGCTGAAAGATCAGGCAGTGAAGAGGCAATTAATAACCAACCATTTGCTAATTAAGCACAAGCAGTACCTCCCTGCCCGAGGGTTGATTAGCTAGAACTGTGTGCTGAGGGTTAGTTGTGTGATGTTTGTGTCTCTGGGCACACAGAGAGTATCAGTGGCTGAGACAATGTGTGTGGACATCAGGCCATGCCTGGCAGGTTCAGCTCCCTAAATCCCCACCCATGTCCACAAATGGGTGTTCAGGGACACACCACATACCATGGACGCAGGAATCATAGAGCCTAACACCTCAGGATCTTCTGACTTCCTCACCCACATGGACCAGACACCACACCAGCACACACCACACACTGTGGGAGCAGTCAGAGGGGCAAACAGGGATCAAAGAAAGCAGAGTAAGCTCCACTGACCAATCTCAAACACAGAACTAAACGTTCAGGACTCTGATAAAACACAGAAGTGGCTCAGGCTGTACTTGGGTGTCTCTGCCACGGCATCCTACAGCCTGTCCTTGAGCTCTTCCCTGGCTGATCCAACCCCTTTGCCCACTGAGCCACTGCCCAAGCGCGCGCCAACCGCTGAGCCACCTCCTCAGTCACACACAAATACTTTTTGTAACCAAATCACATGTTCAAAGTGTTGTACATTTAAACATTGACCTCGAATGAACAGGTAAATTTAACACAAGGAAAGGAAGGTGTTTCCAGAAGGGAGAACTGGGATAGCACAGCCCTTGGTTGATTGTTTTGTACATTTTCTTTCCCTTCTCTTCGTAAGTAATCTCAAACACACCCACAATTCAGACATACCCTTCCCTGGAGCTGTAGCAGTCTTGGGATGAGGTTCTCTTCTGGGCACCCATCCTGTTCCATGGAGAATTGGTCCCTGGTGACTTGGCACTGACCAACATATGGACATATCCCTTGGGAATGATGAACAAACTCAAGCAGCACATGAGTGAACTGATCATTCCTGACACTTCTTCTGTGTATGACAGCCCCAGGTGACACTCAACAGCTTTTCCTGGGGCATGGATCCTGCAAACACCACCAGTTCCTTTTCCAATTACTGGCTGTTGACTTCCAGGGCCCCCTGGAAGCTGCTTCTGTCCGTAACTCAGCCTGACATAGCCCCACATGGCATTGTGAGGCTGCTGCTTTCGT